TGTTCAAAGATAGTATCCAACATGAGCTTCAACACAATGTCATACCTTAAGTAAATGATGGAATTAACATTATACACTTATATCCATAGTCACTTACTACTGCATGAGTTATATCTAATTTAATATTGCAAGTCTTCTAATCCATTATATAGAAAACCTTAGTACCAATAGACACTCAAGCACCCACAAAAAGCATAACCTAACACTTGTACATGTTGTTGCATATATTTTAGAAGCCAAATATAATATCACATACCATGAAACACTAGACCACATGCTTCTCCTTTCATTGACCACTCATTTCACATCATATATAGTTAGAATCATAGGCCAACATAGGGCAAATGGGCACAGGGGTAGAAGAAGAAGGTGAATCTAGTCCTCCTAGTCATCTGAAACAAAACTATCCTCAAGATGAGTAGATTGAGTACTTTTAGGATAGAGTTAAAAGTGGATGATCATATTTGAAAGTTCAAACTATGGTTGTTAAACCACTTAAACTACAACATCATACCAATTGGGGGGAGGGTGAATTATTGTTTTAAAATTTCTTTTTAAAAATTGTATTTTAAAAGTTTAAATCAAAATAATTGCTAAAAATTTAAAAGTAGCATTTTCAAAGTGGAGGCAAATAAAAAAGCAACCAAAATTTTGTTTTTTGATTTTTACATATAAAAATATATTTTTTATGTTTTGAATTTCAGATATTTTTATTTCTTTATATTTTTGAACAAAAACTAAATCCAAATTTTTTTGTACCACAAGGATATCAATTCTCAACTTTGATTTCCAAGAAAATAAATTTACAAGAAAGTATAGTGCAAAAATTAAAGAAATAAGCACACAAAAAATTGTTATAGTAGTTTGGTCAACTTGACTTACATTCACTCCTCGGAGTCATCTTCTTCAGGTATTGTACTAAAATATTTGAGTGTCTCTCATTTTTCCCTCACAATAAGGCGGAGAAGCCCTCACAAGAATCAATTCTATGTTTCTTCAATGAGATAGAGTAGCCAAATTCCTTTCACCTTCCCAAATGTGACAGATTAGCCAAATCCCTTTGACCTTCCTCAATGCAATAGAGTTTATAGTGGCCCATTGAGAAGAAGTGGTTATTCTTAGATTTTTCCCTTAAGTAAGGCTTTGACTCATGGAGGAAGAAGATGGATGTTTGCTAGAACAACCGTGTGTAGAATCTCTCTCATATTCCCTTGATCATACAAGACTATTCTCCCTCTCATAACTTCACTTCTCTATCTCCCTTGCTCAAAACCACTCTTCAAACTCTTGCTTATAGAAGACACACACGACTTGACTTCCAAAGCCTCTCTCTCACATAATAAGAGATGATTAAATAGTAGGTTTCAAGAAAACCTAAAATTTTGATTTAACTATCACTGTTCATACAATATGATCTATAGATTGTATAGTATGATTAATTCAAATATTACTCTATAGTACTTTATGATGAATGGTCTATAGGATTATTAGTTAAAGTTTATTTACTGATCATACTATAAGAATGAACAATAGTGCAGTATAATTATGATAATTCAATATCAAATTATACAAGACGAACAAAAATTATAAGAGAGCCCTCGAGTGATTTAGACAGTACAATGTTTTTGATCGTATTAGATGAACCAAACTTCATCTAGAGACTCCTCCGATGAGTTGTACAGCTTGATATAATATCATATAGTATGATCTATAATCAATCAGATTCGATTTGATTATTTAATTAACTGACCTAATAAACATATCTATAAAAGATCGCACAATATGAAATGATTCATATAATATAAATAGTTAAAATTTTAAAATTCAAATTTGCCTATTTTAGGTAAGCTAGAATCAACAGCGGGGTGGGGTTTCTAGTTGTAACTGATCATTCAATACTATGCGTGGTCATATTGTATGATTAATAATATGTGAATTTTAATTTTTAATTGAAATAAACATTTTAATTTTTTTTATTTGAACTAATCATATATTATGAATAAGATTATATAATACGATTAGATAAAAAAATTCTTCATTTTTCATTCCCCATGTGTGTGTGTGCACGATTGCTAAGTTAACATACACCTTTTTACATTGATAGACTCATGAAAATAAATTGTATAAACAATTGCATAAATTATACCTATACTAATGTTGACCTCATTTCTATATGAGGTCATCATGATCCATCCAAACTCCTGCTATTGATATGATGGTTGATAATTATCCAGTTATCAATCATCTAGAGCCTAATCAAATTCCAACCCAACTTCCATACAACCCTTCATCAGCCTTCAATTAATCTTCAATAAAGCTTTAATCATATCCAATAATCGACAATCATTTATTTAATTGTGATTTAGGTGGATAAATCTAACTCAGTCAATCAAAACCAAAGTCCAGAATTCAATACCAAAATCCAAGGTTAAATGTTCATGTCCTGAAACCACTTATGAGTAATTTTTTTAATCATTTCAAAATATAATCAAATGACCCCTAATTCATGACCAATTAATTGCATATTGATTAGGCATGTCCCTAAGGTCAACCCTTTAAATTTGAGTTCAATCTAACACCCCTAGCCCCAATAATTTAATTGAAATCCAAAGGCTACAAAACCTTCAAATATTTACACTTTATGCCACTTGACCTTTTACTTTATGGAATTTGATCTTGGGGCCCTTCCCAAAAGCCTTAATCATGTATATAACTCTTGTTATGACATATTAAGTACTTTGGTAGACCCAAGTTGACCCACAGTTGACCAAGGGTTCAAATGACGAAAATGTTATTAGAGGGGAAAGTTAGATTTTTCTCCAAATCTCAACATAGGTCAATCAAATCAAAACTTGAAACCTCCTCTAATGCATTCTAAACATCATTAGAAATGCATTGGACTCAAACCCAAACTTTGGTTTGGCCTGATTGATCAAGTCAACATTGGTTGACTAAAGTTCCCTTTAACCATTAAAACATGCATTTCAATCTAAATGTTCTTCCCATCACTTGAGACTACTCTTTGATTTCATACCATCAATCTAAACTCAATTAACCCAACCATTGACCTTAGGCCAACTTAGTTGACCAAGTCTACCAAGTTTGACCAAATATACACACACTTCAACCTAGTTCAAACCTATTGACCAAGGCGGTACAAAGCCAACCCAAACCCTTAGAATGCCCCATTGGGTCCCTAAGAGTTTTCCTTTGAAGGCCCAAGCCTTGGGCCCACTTAGGTTAACCATATAGTTTGACCCAAGTTTCCAAATGAGTATCTCAATGAGCCAAAATTTACACTAGGTCACCTCTGACTAAGCTAATGATTGCATTGGGTCTCCCATGACCCAATACACCTACCCTAGCTGGCCCAATCCTTGGGTCAACTCAGGCTAGGAATTGGGCATGCCTAAGGTGTCTAAAACTACTAAGGATTGAGCCATTCCCCAATTAGGGGCCCACCAGGCCATATCAACACTCCCATTGGGTGGTCCTAAGTCTAATACACCTATCCCAGTCAGCCCATCCCTTAGGTTGATGTGGTTCAAGACTTAGGCTAGCCCAAAGTGGTCAAAACTACTTTAACCTGAGCTAATTGTCATCATAAACCAAATCAAGCACAATTACTTATTGCATTGGACAGCCCTTGACCTAATGCTCCTCCCATACAAAATCACCCATTTGACTTGACCTAGGTTGCACCCAAATTGACCCAAACCATACATATTTGGGTCAATCTGAGCCATATTGATGAATGGGGCTTTTTCATGATCAATTGGGCTTATGCTTGGACTCACCAGACCCTCAGTGAAATTTTCACCTCACCCTTACCCGAGAGTGGCTAGTGATGGTCAGGGCGAATGACAATAAGCTCTAGTTCATCAAATACATGCAATAAAATAAGAGTAGCATTCATATATACATATTCTCTCTAAAATACATAGAAAATAAAAATGTCTGATATACATATTCAGGATATTTCTTATTTCATATACTTCTCATCCTTATAACACCATTAGGATATACTTTAATAATAGTAAAAGGGTCAGCCTATCTAGACTTAAGCTTTCCATAGTAATATTTCTTAATATAATCAAAGAGCAAGACATCTTGACCAATAAAAAATTCATGATCTTTAATTTCGTACCCATTCATCTTCTTTATTTATGCATTATAGAGTTGTGTATCTTGATAAATTTTATTTCTGAATTCATGAAGTTTATCAACTATTACATAACTCTACATGTTTAGAATAGAGTGGAATCTCCATTCTTTAAGTGTACTTCACTTCTTTTTTAGGATGAATACATTCATTTTCTTGCACCCATTTCTTTAGGATTCAAGAAAGGAATAAAGGACACTCAATAATACTTCACTCAAGAAGAATTGTCATGGATAGAAATTTAAACTTTTAACTTACCCTTTTTATAATTTTTACGGGCGTGATGGTGCCAAAATCTAAATTTTAAACCACTACGGCACAACCAATTTCAGAGACCCTATAAGTAGCATTGCAATGCTCCTTCTCTCTCTCTCTCTCTCTCTCTCAAATTTTTATGACAAGAAAACTTAGTAATGATCAATCACTACTGTTAAATCTAATCTTCAAAAGCACATAAAAATTAAAACCTAGGTTGCCTCCCATACATTGCCAAGTTTGTAGTATTTAGTCAGATTTGTCTAGATTTATCAATTTGGCTTGGGTACGATGCTATCATTCTTCAAAAGATTTTTATTAGACTCTTTTTCTTTTTTCCTTTGGTTTAACTTCAATATTGCTAAGAAATGATGGAAGAGGTCTGCTATTGATTGCAAGCTGACTTAAATGGATTTCTAAATTTTTAATAGAAGTAATTTGATTTCTCACATAATTGACCATTGGTCTGTTCAAAAAAGCCGGCCACACTCATCACGTTTCTTTTCATTTTTGTGGGGATTGTGGAGTGAGGAATCCAAATCCACCACTTCAAATAAGTCACGTCTCTCCCTATAAAACAGATCAAATACTCAATAATCCAAATCACCAACAACATCAATGGCAACTACGGTGAGCCTCCGGCCATTTGATCTCTCCGACCTTGATGACTTTTGGGTTTGGGCCTCTGATAAGGACGTAGCGTCCAACTGCGGTTGGGAAGCCTACACGAGCAAAGACGAGCTTAGACGATTCATGGAAGAGAATGTTCTCCCGAGTCCATGGTTCCGTGCTATTATTGTCAGTGGCCGGCCAGTCGGCCAGGTGTTACTAATGTCTTCAGAGGGGTCAGGCAGCCAGTGCCGCCGCGAGATAGGATATGTGTTAGCAAGAGAGTGGTGGGGGAAAGGGGTGGCGACAGCGGCGGTAAGGATTGCGACGGAGGCAGCGATGTCTGAAATAAAGGGATTGGAGAGATTGGAGGCTTTAGTAGAGGAGGGGAATAAGGCATCTCAAAGGGTTTTGGAGAAGGTAGGATTTCAAAGAGAAGGGTTGCTGAGAAAGTATTGGTGGAATAAAGGGCTGTTGAGAGATATGGTTTTGTATAGTTTCGTAAGGGGAGATAGTTTCCTCATTTGAATCAGTTCTTCTGCCATTTTAGCAAATCTGAGAGCTTGTTTTCATGGTTTTGGTTCTGTTTGTTCCAGTTTGAAAGCATCTGACACATGGAAAATAAAGCTAAAATTTTTATGTAAATCACAAATTTCTTTTAATTTTTTTTTCTTATGTTTAAAAACGGCATGTTAATTTAATGTAAACGATGCTTGATTAATCATCCAAAAAATTGAATAATATATGCATGAGGTGTCAGAAAAAAAAAAACTACTAGTTCCACCGAATTCATGCTTGCAGCATTTGTTGTCTACTTGTTTATTAAGTGAATTGAGTTCACTTAAGCATCACCTTCCTGTTTTTCTTATATGCTGGGAGTATGTTTTTGTTTTTGGGGCAATGATGTTCAGGGAACGTCCTCCCCCCAGGAAGGCAATTTTTTGCAACGAACTTTGTTTTTGATGGCAATTAAGGCAACCGGGGGTATGCGTAGTTGGAGGTTGTTCTCTGTTTTTTATGCTGAGCCCGTAAGCATCAATGCTTCTCCTCTTCTTCAGCTCTTTTCCGTGGGTTTAAAGTTATGATTTCGGCTTCCCTCCTTGTGGCTGGATCAATCTCAAATCTGGATTTGCATATTTTTTGCTCATGTGTAATTTTCTACCAGTTTTTGTGGTTGTTTTTGAGCCTATTATGCTGGTTTATGCTTATTTTATATTATGAACTTTTTTACACATGTAACTAGTTCTTTTACTTAATGGAATTTGGGTTCTGCCCTCAATTTTCTCAAAAAAAAAAAAAAAAAGTGAATTGAGTTTGAATAAGATTCTAAGCTCATTTAGGAACACAGACAAAAATCATCTTAATTTGTCTTTTTAGGTCGACCTCTATCTATCTTAACATAAGTCAAATCTAATACATCTAATTTCCTAACTGGTTCATCGGAAGACCACCGTTTTATGTGACCGAACCATCTAAGGTGACTCTCTCTCTAATCTTATCTTCCATTGGAGAAAAAAAAAAAGATTTTATATCGAAGAAATTTTAAGAAGAAGCACTATTATTATTTAAATTAGCTGTAGGAGTATATTACTAAAATAATTTTGAAAAAAGCAAATTAGCCAAATTGTTTGGTGCATTATTTCTAAGCTCATTTATTAAATGAGTCGGAACACAGACATAAATCATCTTAATTTGTCTTTTTAGGCCGATCTCTATCTTAAGATAAGTCAAATCTAATACATCTAATTGCCTAACTGGGTCATCAGAAAACCACCGTTTTATGTGACCGAACCATCTAAGGTGACTCTCTCTCTAATCTTTTCTTCCATTGGAGAAAAAAAAGATTTTATATCGAAGAAATTTTAAGAATAAGCACTATTATTATTTAAATTAGCTGTAGGAGTATATTACTAAAATAATTTTGAAAAAAAGCAAATTAGCCAAACTGTTTGGTGCATTATTTGGTGCATTCCAAAGACTGCTACAGTTGTAAAATTCCATTAGAGTTCGGACAAATTTGTACACTAAGCATCATTAGAATCGTAATTAGCTTATTAAGCACGTGAAAAAAATACTCTTCAACTAGGAGTTACCGACCAACTTAATGTTGTATATTGTACCTGAGATATCAATGCGAATTGCCTCGATGAAGTGATAAAGGGAGCGATAAGATTCTTCATATGTACTAAATATGACTTGAATCACTTTTCGTCGTGCATCCCATGCCTTGACGTACGAAAGATTTATGTCATTTTTTGACTCCATTCGGGCAATTATCTCCCTTAGTTTTATGTCTAGCTGCTGACGCACAATTGGAGTAATGTATGTGCATACGAATTTTGATATACAATTACGATGACCTTCCATCATTATAGCATGTGTACAACAATACATATGTGTTGTGAACCATAGTCAGATATTCTCTAAAGTCCCCATAGTCTCTTACTTCATTCTGCATGCATGTAGGTGCCATGCACGAGGCCTCTGTGGGTTATCATGATGAGCACATATGATGGTGAGTCTGCTCTTATTAGAGCTACATTTGATATACTCAGCGTTATTGGCAATGGACTACATATTAGCTACACATTGTAAGGCTTCCTTCGTATGGAAAATCAACCCTTCATGAAGTTCAGTGGAATGCGTAGATTATGTTAATGTTAATGTTAATGCATTCATTTATCTTTTTAAAATCTAGTTTGGATGAATTATTCATTTATCTTTTTAAAATCTTTTAGTGACTTTAGATAAATTTATAACAAAATAATAATTTAATATTATATAATTAATTTAATCAATTTCTTTTAGTATAAAATTTAAATAGATCATTTTAGGACTTAAAAAATTACAAAAAAATATTCATAAAATAAATCATTTTATTTAAAAAATATCAAATGAAATTAGTTTGTAAACTAGACACCTAAAGGTCCCGAAATCCTCACTTTACTGACATGTACAATTTCCTTAAGGATTTTTGACAATGCCAAAAAATTACAAAAAAAATTGTGTAAGTAAAATACTTCGATAAAAATACCATAGCAAAGGTGATTTACAATTTGGAGTTATAACGACTAGGGATGACAATTCGGGTTAGCGGGTCCGGGTTCGGGTCGAACCCTGAAATGACCCGGCACTATTCGGGTCAACTCGAACCCGACCTGTTTTTAAAAAAGGGTCAGGTTTTTGGACCCGAACCCAAACCCAATTCGGGTCCGGGTCAACCCAACCCGACACGAATGACCCGAAGTTGACCTACAATTGCTAATTTTCGGGTCAAAATCGGGTCAATATTCGATTTTCGGGTCAAAAATGGGTCAATCTCGGATTTTCGGGTCAAATATGAGGTTTCGTGTCAATTTCGGGTCAATTTCGTGTTGCTGGGTCAACCCGAACCCGACCCGTTTCGGGTTTGGGTTGATCCGAACCCAGATTTTTTCGGGTCGGGTTCTGGTCATGTCAAAAATTGACATCCCTAATAACGACTCCACAAAATTTTGGCTAAGTCAAAATACATGTTATTACAATCTACACACCTTAAAAATATGTCATCCCCGACATTTCCCTTAAGGATTTAAACATAAAATCAATATTAACCAAATCCGTATAATCAAAACTTATCAAAAATCATACAGTCATGCAGTTCATTCTATCACATGTCATTCAATTATGCATGCAAACTAATGCACCTTAATCTACCCAATCTACCCAACTCTCAATCAATTCCTACAGCTCTAGTAACAATCAATTCTTCCAACAAATGTGCTTTGATACCAGTTGTGATGCCTTAGAATTTAATTTAAAAGAATTATTCATTTATGTTTTTTTAAAATCTTTTAGTGACCTTAAATATTTTTATAATAAAAGAATAATTCTTCAAATTTAGATTCTAGGGCATCGCACCCATTGCTGGAGCATAATAGTGTGCATTTTGGTCCCATTCTTGTGTTGTAATAACAGTTTGTATGAATTCATTGCTAGAGAACATTGCTTATAAGCCTTCATGATTTTTTTTAGCATGTTCTTGAATGCACTCATGTCAGATATTTCCATATTATTATCTTCAATTGAAGGATTAGGAAGGTATACTATAGGGCCAATGCTAGATGAATCACTACTTCTACTATCCATTATTTGGTATTCATTTATATCATCTTCATTTCCTTCCCCAGGTTCAAGAATAAGTGGTTGTTGTCGTGAAGTCCCTTGCACATACAGCCTAAAAGAATCAGAATCTTCATTGAACTCAGATAAAGAAATGCAATCACCTCGTCGCTCACTAACACCATCACGTGGCTATGCATCTTGTTACAAATAAGTTGGGTGCTCACATAAGCTTAGGAATTCGTGAAAGTCAGCAACCATTGCAGTTGAAAATTCTGCACTGATAACAACTTGATGAATATTGGAGTTGGCATATCAAATAACCACATAGTTTGAGAACATTACATATTTTTTTTGAAAAACCATTGGCGAAGAAAGGAATCTTCGATGTTATGTGATAACTTACCGATATACTTGAGTTGAAGGGCCAGCAACATCAAATATGAATGTTGTTATGCTTGTTCCGGTAGGCTCTATTGGGATAACTTCTTCAGCCTTGATATATACCATAACACTGCACCTTCTAGCCTCTAGCAACATATATTCACAAACCTCGTCATCAATCACTTGGGTGGTAGCATATCCATCATTATTATGAATTCGACATACAAGATTTACTATCTATGTTGATGGATTGTATTGCCGATGGATTGTATTGTAACACATGAATAATTCGTAGTTTTAGTTGGGCAAACGATATAATGTCCTCTTTAATTATTGGCTTATTCCTACTGTCGACATAGCTTGGTATGAAATCAGTTGTAACTTGCAGCTCGCCACCAAAGTATAAAATTAATCGTGACATTCTACAAAGAATAAAGATGTTTCAAAGAGTTAACATGACATCTGCACTATACAGATACACTTATAAAAAATTTTAAGTCATCACTACTTGACTTTCATTTAGCTATCCTCTCCAAATTTCTAAAATTTTCTTTGGTTTTAAAATCAAAGTGTGATAGAAATAATATTAACTTTTGTAGGAATATTTTTTTCATTACTTCATAAGATTATATGAACTCCATTTTCACTAATCATTTTATTCCAAGCTAAGCTTCTTCATCAGATTTAGATATGACAAAAATTTTAAATCTTCTGAATGAGTTCTTCTGCCATTTTAGCAAATATCAGAGCTTGTTTTCATGGTTTTGGTTCTGTTTGTTCCAGTTTGAAAGCATCTAACACATGGAAAATAAAGCTAAAATTTTTATGTAAATCACAATTTTCTTTTAATTATTTTTCTTCTTATTTTTAAAAATGGCATGTTAATTTAATGTAAACGATGCTTGATTAATCATCTAAAAATTGAATAATATATGCCTGAGGTGTCAGAAAAAAAACTAGTAGATTCAACGAATTCATGCTTGTAGCATTTGTTGTCGACTTGTTGATTAAGTGAATTGAGTTTGAATAAGATTCTAAGCTCATTTATTAAATGAGTCGGAACACAGACAAAAATCATCTTAATTTGCCTTTTTAGGTCGACCTCTATCTTTCGTAACATAAGTCAAACCTAATAAATCTAATTTCCTAACTTGGTCATTGGATGACCGCCGTTTTATGTGACCGAACCATCTAAGGTGACTCTCTCTAATCTTATCTTCCATTACAGAAAAAAAAAAGATTTTATATCAAAGAAATTTTAAGAAGAAGAACTATCAATATTTAAATTAGTCGTAGGAGCATATTACTAAAATAATTTAGAAAGAAGCAAACTGCCAAACTGTTTGGTGCATTCTATTGAATGCACCAAATTCTTTGGTGTATTCCAAAGACTGTTACAGTTGAAAAATTCCATTAGAGTTCAGTTAAATTTTCACACTAAGCATCATTAGCGTTGTAATTAGTTGATTAAGCATGCAAAAAAATGCTCTTAAACTGGTGGTTACCGACCAACTCAATGTAGTATATTGTACCCGTGATACCAATGCGGATTGCCTCGATGAATGA